CTCTACAGGCAGTTCTTTTGACCTCAGGGCTTGATTTTTGCTCTGATATGCATTATCAGCTGTTAGACCTTTAATTAAGACGTGTGTGCCTTTCCAAATTATACCCATTCAATTGAATTTGCCACAGGTTAACTTCACTTGAAGTGTAGTTACATCTACAAGCAATATGAATACTCCTGAGCTACATTTCAACTGTCCCAGATAAGGGTATGAGTACTTATGCAATGGAATCATTTAAGTTTTTTATTTTTAATAAATTTACAAAGATGCATAAAGCAGTTTAACATAAGGCAGCAACATGACAAAATGTGAAAAAAATGAATACTTTTGCAAGGCACTGTATGTTTGGTTGACTATTTTATTCTGATAATGAACAGGCTGCAGCGTTTGCAATGCTGTAGGCCTATATGAAAGGTGCATTTCTCTCCTACTGCAGAGATGGCTAATCAGCATCGTCAACTTCATATTTGCATAATAATTTTTTCTCACAGTCTGAGGGTCCTTTAGGTGCTGTTTTGCAAATTCCAAGTGTGTTTTCATGTGTCTTAACTGAGGAGAGGATTGAGTCTTGCCACACCGCCATAAAGCCCAGATCAGTGGAGTGTTGCAGTGATGTTTGTCCTTCTGTAAGTTTCTCCTGTCTCCACATATGATCATGGAGCTCAACTAGACTGACTATCAGGTTCTTGGTCACCACTCTAACCAAAGCCCTTCTCCATCAATTGCTCAGTTTGGCCAGGAGGCCAGCTCTAGGAAGAGTCCTGGCTGTTTCAAACTTCTTCCATTAAGGGTAACAGAGACTACATGCTTATGTGACCCTTCAATGAAGCAGAAATTTTCTGAACTCTTCCACAGATGTGTGGCTTGATGCAAACCTGTTTTTGAGCTCTACAGGCAATTGTTTTGACCTCAGGGCTTGGTTTTTGCTCTGATATGCATTATCAGCTGCCTTTCCAAATCATACCCATTCAATTGAATTTGCCACAGGTTAACTTCGCTTGAAGTGTAGTAATATCTACAAGCAAAATGAATGCTCCTGAGCTAAATTTCCACTGTCCCAATGGAATCATTTTAGTTTTTTATTTTAAATAAATTTGCAAAGATGTTAAAAACCTGTTTTTTTGCTTGACAATTATGGTGTATGGAGTGAATAAGAGTGGGGTGTAACTGGTGTGTTTAATGTCGAAGAATAAAACGTGAAAGTATCTTGAGCTTGAGCGTGTGAACCATGGACCTTATTTTAGGGGATTTAATCAAACTCCCATTCAAAAAACCCATTGACTCTGGGACGATGGTACC